TCGTCGTTGTTCTCCTTCTCTTTCTCCTCCCTCGTCCGCCCTCCTCTGCCCTCCTCTGCTCATCTCTGCCCCTCTCCCCGCCCTCATGCAGCGAGCGCCTTCCCTGGAAGCCTGATCTAACCTTCGAGCCACTTCGAACGCCTCCTACTGCTTCGACTACCTCCTCCGCCCCCTCAGCCAAGATTTCAATACATCTTGAGGGGCGCGCTCAATCTGCCGTTCTGACCCACGTTTTGGGGGGAACGCGGCCGTGGCGACGAGAGAAGGCGGAGCCCCAGGACGCTCCAGAAGGGCAACGACCGTCCGAGAGCCTCGGCCTTCGAAGCTCGAGCCAGCCTCGGCCTCGGCGGCCCAGCCTGCCCTCCCGCCCAGATCCCCCCCCGCGGCCCGCGAGGCGTCCGCGCGGAGGGCGCGCCGCCTGCGCCGCCCCGGCCGCTGTTCTGCCTGCTGACGCCCAGCTGGGACCGCGAGGTCGCCGAGGAGGCCGCCCCGAGATCCCCTCCGCCGAGGGCCCCCCCCGCCCCCTTGGGCATAGAGGCGCGGCCAGGAGGAGGAGGAGCAGGAGGAGTAGGGGGAGGAGGGGGAAGAGGAGGAGGAGGAGGAAAGGAAAGGAAAGGAAAGGAAAGGAAAGGAAAGGGAAAAAGAAAAGGCTGAGGACAACGGCGCAGGAGGTGGAAATGGAGGACGACGAGGAGGGCACGCTCGTGCGTTCGCCGCCGCTTGGGCAGGCGGGCGAGCGAAGGGGTTGGGGGGCGGGGAGGGGGAGGGGAGGCGAAGGGTCGATGGGAGATGGTCGAGGGGAGCAGGGCCAAGGGAGGCGGACGGGGGAGGAGCATGGGAGTGCCAGGGCTGCGGGCAGGTGAGGGGCCGATTCGTTCCAGGCCATGCTGCATGCCCCCGTGTTGGGGCGATCGAGCAGGTCGTTGCCTTCGTTTCCTGGGGCGCTGGCTGGTACCGGGGCGCAGCCTGGCAGCTGCGGCATCAGGTGGATCTGCCAGCCCTCGATGGGGGGAGGCAAATGCGGGCGGCCTGGAGTGCCCGGCCTCTGCTCCCAGAGTTTGTCCAGTTCTCTGCCCACCGCGCAGAGTTGGATAGCATGGCGCGCAATCGGCGAGGTGAACAGCGGCAACACGGTTTTGCCAGGGGCTTAATTGTTCGACGACAAATCCGTGAAGTATGCATTGGCTTGCTGGCGACGGTGGCTTCGCTGGAGGAGACGCAGTCGATTTGGTTGTCCCTGTCAGCGGCCACGCGCTGGCTGCGAGTTTTCCTGACGATGTTAGGACTCAGGGCACACTTCTGCGCGTGGCATGCTGTCAGGGATGCGGGTCCTTCTGGGCCACATGAGTCCGAACCAGCTGCCGCTCGACTCCTTGTGGTTTGTGGGGTACTGCGCAACTCCGCACAATCATCTGTAACGGCCAATGGCTGAGGAGCGCAGCCTGCGGGTGTGTTTTTCCCTGTTGTCGCGGGCGAGGGGCGCGGGGGCTGTGCCAATGTTCGCGGGGTTTGTCGCATTCTTGCTGGTTGCGACGCTCCAGCTCAAGCACGATCATAGTTGCGAGTTTGTTCAAAAGCAGTGCGCACCCACGACGCATGTAGGCAGGGTGTACCGGGGCAGCGTGCGAGGCGGTCGGGCGAAACGTTGTGGACGCCAAGTCTTCGTCGTGCCTGCGTTTCCTGCCGACGGGCCCGCCATCGTTTCTGATCGTGGAGCAGGCGCATGGTATCGTTGCGACATACAGTCGGGTCCCTGAAGAAGGAACCCTTTTCGTTGGGGAGGGGCTCCGCGTTCCTTAAGTGTTTCACAGCTTGCCTCGGGCTTTCCTTATGTTTTCGACAGGAAATCGAAGGTCAACTTATGGAAAAAAGGGGCCTCGTTCCTTATTTAGGGTTCCTTAGGTCAACGCCCCGATGGTACTTGCTGCTCAGGAAGCTTCTGACGGCTGCGGTCCGGCTGGCGGTGCCGATGCTGGACCGATCTGCGATTGGCGACGACTGGGCTGACGTAGTGGCTTCCTCGCAGGCGCCAGAGCATCTTGCTTGTCGTGGGCCGGCGGCTCTCTGCACTTCGACTCCCGGCCGGCATCGTCCGCCCAGGTCCGCCGCGTTCTTTTGGCCGCGTTCCACGGCGCTGGATCTCGAGGCTGGCAAATGGCGGCGGGCCTCCGTCGGCCGGCGACCGGGGCGCTTGGGTGCAGAAAATTGGCGGAACGAGACGAGTGGCCGCTTGTGAACGTTCCGGCGTCCGCGCAGGACGGGCCCGCTGTGGGCCTGGCGGCCGAGCGCTCGGCGCAGGCCGCGTCTGGAGCGGCGGGCGAGCCAGTTCGAGGTCCTCGTCGGGGGGTAGAGTCGGAGAGCGGGGGGATGCGGAAGGCGCTGCGCCAGCGGAAGTTCCATGGCTGCTTCCAAGATGGCTAAGTCATACCTCGATTTGGCCCGTGACCAGGTGGACGACAAACGACTATCCATCCCTGGGTGTCGCAGGTGGTCTGACCGAGCCCTTGCTGGGGGCTTTGAAGAAGGCGCAGGGGTTGATGGGGCGATGGCCTCCTCGCGATCCCGGCGCGTCTGGCGTCGCGCGAGGCTTCTAGCGCGCGGGGCGTAGGAGGATTCCTTTTCTGTTTGCTTTCCCTTTCCGCTTGCTCGTGCGCGTCGCCAGCGTTGGTTCGCCTTTTCTTGCTCCTTCCCTCCACCCACCTCAGTCCAAATCCCCCCCTCCTCTCCCTGTCCACGTCCCTCCTCTCGCGCAACAAGAGAAGAGTATCCCCCTCCTCCCTCGCATTTTGCCTTCTCTCGCCGGTTATTGCATCCGGTGCATCGGTCATTCTCGGCGGCGCTCTCGGACATCTCAACGCTGGCGCTCCAAGGCAAGTTGCCCCTGTCGCTCTTTGCAAGGCGCTCCCGGCACGCGGAGGGTCCTCAGATGGGCCGTGTTTGCACTTGCGTTTTTGTTTGGAGAGGCGCGGACAGGAGAGAGTAGGGCGCGAGATGACATCTGGCGCGAGGAATCGGGGGGAGAGCGGAGGGTCAATTAACCTTTTGCAGTTGCGAAATTCGCGCGAGGAGCGCCTGGGCTGCCTGGTCGTCAGCCGCGCGCGCAGGGGCAATAGGGGACCCGCCACCGAGCTACATGCTCACGCGTCGATCTCCTGGATGGCTGGCGGCGCATACGTGTCTGCCGAGACTGCGGAGAAAAGCCCTGGTGCATTCGCCAATGTCCGCAGCTGGTCGGGCACGAGCCTGCCTCGAGCCCGGTCTTCGCCAGCCGCGGGCCCCGCCCGCCTCCGCCGCTCGCCGTCCCGGCGCCGCGCCGCAGTCGCGGCCGCGCCTTCCGCGGCAGAGCTCCGGGGGCATACGGGGCGAGGTTGGCGCCCCTGCAGCCGCGCAGTGCATGGCTGCGCGGTCAAGATCCTGGGAAGCGATGTTGGCGGTCTCGGCCTTGCGTCGGCGAGCGACGTTTCGACCAGCTCCGCGGCGCCGGATCTTCCGCGGGGGGGTGGCTGGCCCGAGCCGCCCCGCGGCTGCAGGGTCGCGCCCGCCGGGCGCTCGGGCCGCCGAGCTTCTCCGCGCTCGCTCTCCTTCGAGCTGCGCGCCTGTGGTTTTTGTGCGCGTCGGGTTGGGCGCCCTGCTCGATGCTCTTGGCTGCTTCGCTCCGCCGATTGATGGCCGCGCGCGCGGGAGGGGTGCGGACGTCCTGCGTCTCGCGGCGAAGCGCGGGCCAGAGCGCGGGAGCGGCGCATCGCGCGATGGGGGCGCTGCCGACGAAGATCAAGAAGGCGTCGCTCGACCTGGCGCCCGTTGGCGGGGCCCTCTGGGCACGTGAGGCCGCGCCTGAGCGGCGCCGCCGGGGGCTTCGAGGGCGAGCGATCGACGCGGCTGCGAGCCTTCTTCCAGCCGCGGGCGAGCTTGGCCGACCACTGCCGTCGCGCATGCAGGTCCGGGGTGCGGGTGGGCGCACGAGGAGGTGTCCTCGATGTCTGCGTCGCGCAGATCGCAGATATCCGAGCCGCTGGGTGCAGCCAGTGCGGGTTTACGCGGGCGGTTCACGGGGCCCTGCAGTAGGCCCCCAGAGGCCGAAAACAGCCCCACGCCGTCCGTCATTACGACAGCGACGACGAACGAGCGAACGAACGAAAGAGCGAACGAACGAACGACGACGGACGACGACGGACGACGAGGACGACGACGACGGACGACGAGGACGACGACGACGAGGAGGAGGAGGAGGAGGAGGAGGACGACGACGACGACGACTACGACCACGACGGCGACGGCGACGACGACGACGACGACGACCACCACGGGCGGGGCCACCGCGCAGGTGCGGGCCCGGCCCAAGGCGTGCATGGCGCGGTACGACCGGCCGGGCGACATCCTGCAGAAAGTGCAGCAGGGGCCCACCGCCGCCCCCCCTCACTGGTGGCGTTCTCGCCGGCGCCGTCGTGTTGGTGGTGGTCGTCGTCTTCTCCTCCTCCGTCCCTTTCCCTTCCTTCCCTCTCCTCTTCTTCTCTTGGTCCTCCGTCGCTCCTCTTTGGCATCCCGAGTGCTGGCCCTTGCTTTTTTCGCGGGCCCCATGGTTTGACCGAGCCGCCTCGATATCAGCAAGCGCTCTCTCAAACGATCGCAGCTCTGAGACCAACAGGAGGGTTTTTGGCTCGGAGCCGTTCGTTCAGGCCAGATCCACCCTGGTCCGAGCGAGTTGCTCCTCTGCCGTGGCGAGCTTAGAACTCCAACCAAAGGTTAGACGTTGAATTTGACCCCCAAAGGCATCGGGAAGGCCGTTGTCGTGTGAGGCGTTCCGTAAAGGGCCTCGCCTACGAGGATCGAAGGAGTTGCCATCTCTTCCGCGGCGGAGGGTCGGCGGAAGGCGGCGGAAGTAGAACGAGGCTGCTTCAGCCGGCGGAGGCCTGCGGAGGGGCGGCGGAATGTGGCGGAAGTAGCAGATGCGCCCCCCAAGGATCGGGCCGGGCGAAAGGGGGGGTTTGGGAAAGGGGGGGTTACGAAATTTGCTGCATGCAGCTGGTTTCGGCCTCACCGAGGGGCCCATTCCTCGATACATGGCCGCCTCCGGCGCCGGGAGGCGCCGGGAAAATCAGCTACGTGAGCTGATTCTCAATCCCCCCCTTTGCTATCCCCCCCTTTCGCCCGACCCGAGCCCCCCAAGGAGTATGGAAACGCTTTCGGGTTCAGGGCTTCCGAGGTCCGCCGTGCAGTGCAAGCGGCAGCAGAGCTCGGAGGGATCACGTGGCCAGGCATCCGGACTTTGTGGTCGGCAAGCACTTCCGCAGGCGGAGGTTCACGCAGGTTGAACATCGGACGGTCGTCATGCGGATCCCAATCCGCGTTGGCAGGAGCCACCATCGTGAGGGTCACAGGGCGCCAAGGGCCACGGAGGTGGCATGACGATCTGTAGTTTTCTGTGTGTGTGTTGGCGACATCTGGCGTGCATTACCCTTCTCTTGGATGTTGATGCTTCGAGGGAGGCTGCTTTGGGCCTCCCCCGCTGTTCAGGGTGTGAGTTTGTGAGTGTGCCGGCCTCCCGGGTGCGAGTTAGGGGATGGCTTCCCCCAAGTTCAGTTCGGTTGGGCTAGCTCTGTGGAGGACGATCAATGAAGAGGAAGCATGTTGCCAAACAATTTCCAGATGTCTAAAACATGTGTTAGACATGTTTCAATCATGTAAAACAACATGTTTAAAACATGTCTAGAACAGTTTCCCGACATTTAAACACAGTTTAAATTCAAGTGTAGGACTGGTAGGGTGTCCATTGTCGTAGCATCCACAAGGCTAGCTTCTAAGTGGTCAAGAGTCCTGAGTTCGAGAGCGCTTCAACCCTGTCATCCTTTACGCTGTGCGGGTCGTCGCAGTTGTGTCACCCGCTGCTCCAAGGGCGTGTCACCCGCATCGCAACCCTCGTGACCCATGCTCCCTTGGTGTTCTCCCCCTCCCCTCCATGCCCTTCCTTTCCTCCCTGCCCTCCCGTTCCCTGCCCTCCCTCTCCATGCCCTCCCTGCGCTAGTTCTTGGACAACAACCGCGGCATAAGCGTAAACTGTCGGAGGTCCGCGCGGATTTCTTGGATCTGCACTGGGCCTTCCTCCTTGGTGCGCGGAGCGCGTCAGGGGCGGTGCTGGAGGCGCCGCCAGGGGAGCCCATCGCAGGTCGAAGGCATCCGCGCGGACATCCGAATTTGAATGTTTATGCAGTTTTGTCACGTTCGGCTCCTTGCTCTCCCTGCCTTGTATTCCTGCCCTGTAATTATTTGCCCCCCTGGGCCCCCCTGTAACGATTCGGTCACCCCCGGGGAACGCTCTCGGCGAGGTGCAGCTGCTGGAGAGCGTCCCGAGGCTGGAGAATCGCCGAGAACCAACGGAACCGCTCAAGCGCGAGGATGTCTGGGTTCCCCCGCACCTCTCTGCCTTTCCTGATGATGATGATGATGCTGATGCTGATGATGATGATGCTGATTATCATCATCATGATGATGCTGATGATGCTGCTGATGATGATGGTGATGATGACGATGAGTGTGATGATGATGCTGATGATGCTGGTGTTGATGATGATGATGATGATGATGATGATGATGATGATGATGATGATGATGATAATGCTGATGATGATGTTGATGATGATGATGATGATGATGATGATGATGCTGATGATGATGATGATGATGATGATGATGATGATGATGATAATGGTGATGCTGATGCTGATGCTGATGTGATGAACCAACGGTTTTCCAGTCTCGCAGCCAGCGCAGCCCGCGGCAGGCTCCTCCGCTGTCTCGGTCAGGTCGACCAGGTCTGTCTCCGTCGTTGTGACCTGACAGTCCTCCAGCGTCAAGGAAACGGGCACCTCCTGCCACCACTGCGGCGTCGACAGGTTGATCGCCAGGTGTTTGCTCGAGAGGCACTCACAGTGGTGGATCTTGTTGCCCAGGGTCGGGAAACCGAGCCAGTTGCGGCCACAGTCCACGACTACCTTCAGCTCGTCAGTCAGTATGTCCATGCTCAGCAGGATCGGCACACGGTTGGACATCACGGACAGGCTGATGTCCCGCAGCTCGGGCCCAAGGAACGCTTTGCCCGTGACCCTGCCCATCGAACTCTACTGGAGGCCGTCGCCGAACGTGAACGAGCAGATGTCGTCGTGAGCCTCGAACTCCACCTCGTGCTTGTCCAGCATCTCATACATCAGGTTCTCGACGCTCTGGATGCCCCCGAGTCTGCGGGTCGCACCGATGTCGAGGATCGCCCGGATGCCGCCGCGCTCCAGCAAGTAGACGTACTCGTCGAAGGCCGACAGAATGAGCCCTTTGTGCGTCGTGCTCGAAGCGCCGCCTCCGGTGGTGTTGCCGACCTTGCTAAGGTCGGGACAATCTCGAGTTCGGTGGCCGAGCTGCCTGCAGATGATCAGAGTGAGGGGGCCGAACGGTCATTCAGTGTCCCTGGGTGCGTGGCTGAAGTGGAATTCCGCGATGCGGATTCTTGTTGTTGTTGTTGTTGTTGTTGTTGTTGTTGTTGTTGTTGTTGTTGTTGTTGTTGTTGTTGTTGTTGTTATTGCTGTTTGTTGTTTGTCTTTTGTTTGTTTGTTTGGCGTCGTCCCCCCCGTGGCCTCACTCTTATCCGCAATTGCGGGGTGCTACGTACGCTTCATCTTCGACAAGTCCCGATCGTTCTCGAAGCGTACGCGTCGGTCTCCACGACCACGACCTTTGCCGTTTCCAAAGGGTCTGACTTCTGGACGTGGACGTGGTGGCGCTGGCTGGCACCGGTCCGACATCTCCTCCTTGGGGACCACAGGGTAGTTGTCCCGAGCCGCACGTACTCATCGTAAGAGGTTGCTTGCGTCCTTTCAGCTCTGCTCAGCCTTGCGGAACTGCGCGATCACCTCATCGTCCGCTTCCTGGTCGTCAGCTTCCTCCTCGTTCTCGTCTTCTTCAGCCAGGTGGATCAGCTGCTCGACCATCTCGTAAAGCTCCTCTGCTTCTCTAGCAGTCTCGTGCTCTTCGTCGTCGTCCAGCTCGTACATAGCCCGCTCGCGCTTCCCCTTGCCGTCCAGCTCTGCCAGGGCCTCTGCTGGGAAGCGTGTCAGCAACGTCTTAAAGTTCTTCGCGAAGTTGAAGTCTCCTCCTGCGGTGGCTGTCACTTTACCTCGCAGCACTGGTGTGAGCCGTGACTTGCGTAGAAACCACCACGCACGAAGGGGCTTGGCGATCACTTTCTTGACATCTACGTCGATCGCCTGCAATTGCGTGAGCAGCTCGCGTTCCTTCTTCTCGAACCTGGCGGCCCAGTCCTGGAGTGTCTCTCCAGAGTTGCGGCCTAGCTTCAGAAAGAATTCCTCGGCCAACAAGCCCGTGTCGTTGAGGCTAGTGACTAGTGTAGTCCAGCTTGTCCAGTGCGTAGTTGAACACTCTCTCCCGGCCTACAAGCTTCCCGCTGTCGTCGACCACATCCACGTCGTTGATCTCCGGGCAGCTCTCCTCGGAGTTGCGAAACCACGGCCCCAGCGCCCTGACCAACTGCGGTCCGCACACGTAGCGGTCCGTCGTCCTGATGCTCTTCACGAGCATCGACACCTCGAAGCAGTAGCTGGCCAGCTTGTCGGCCTCTCCGTTCCAGGTCGGGATGTCCACGCGACCAGCTGTCGGTGCTGCTCCGCCAGACGACGCCATGGCGGCGAGACTGGTGGGAGCCCGTGGTAGGGATTACCACAGGCTCCGCTACCAATCTGAATCCCAGAGAGTCCCAAGTGGTCCTGGAGCAGGCTGCTGATCTTCTCTGGCTCCCTGGAGATATTCTGAATAAAACCGATTTCCTCGAACAGGAACGGATGGTGATGGATGGGCACCTCTTGCCCAGCAGTATCTCGGACTCTCCCCGATGACGAGTCCTTGCCAGCGAGCTCGCTGGCTCCTGCAGAAAGTGTAAACCCACCCGCCCGCACGTTTGGACCGAGGCGGCAGTGGCAGAAGTTGCTGAGCAACGCACCACACACACGGCAGGCTGTGAATAAATATGGAACGGCAGGACTATGATATATTCACAGCGTAGCATTCAGACCCCCCCCCGGGTGGATTCCCCCCGCATTCATGGCCAGAGCGCCTGCCCCCCCAGGCGCTCTCCCCCGCTGGCGCCCGCGCGTCTCGACTGAAGCGCCACCCCCCAGGTGGGCGCTTCCGCAGAAATATGCGCACTGGTCAGGTGCGGGTTTCAACAATATGGTTTCGCGCGACGTGGTCGACGCGCAATCGCTGGTGCATTCTCCTCAGTCAGCTGGCCTGGAGGTCCTGGGGGGGACCTCGTGCCACCTCCAGTGGCACTTCCTGCCCCTGCCTCCCGTCAGCCGCGCGCCTCGCCAGCGCCGCCCCAGGCGGCCCCTGGCGATGAGCGCTTACTCGGCTCCGCTGGCTCCGCTGGGCCACCCGCCCTGCGGCATTTGCTGCTGGGCGCCCGCGCCTGGCCAGTTCCGCGGCCAGGTGCCTCGGTGGCCTGCCGGCTGCTTCGGTTGCACGAGCGGGGCCGGCCGCCCTTTCTCTTCGCTTGCCCCGCTGTTCCCGCAGCTGGGCGCTCCTGCCCCGCCAGACCGCCAGACCCGTGGCTGGGCGTTCCCGCTGCGCCTGGCTGCGATGCGTGCGCTGGCCGGGTCGCCAGCCCACATTCTCCCGCCCCTCGCTACGGCTGCCGCCGCTGGGCTTTTCTGGCAGCGGGCGGCGGCCCCCTCGTCGCTCGGGCCACCTCGGCAGCTGGCCTGTTTGCAGCCCTCGGCCGCTGTTATCCGCGGCGTCGCAGCCAACCACTTCCGGCGGTATTGCAGCCCAGCCGTCCATCCGCAGGTAAGCTCAGAGGCTCTTGGCCTTCTGCTGCCGCAAGTGACTCGCGCTGGCTAGCCCTCACGGCCCTGGCATCTGCGCATCCCGCTGCCGCCGTGCATGTGAATGCCTAGGAGCACTCCTTAGGAGCACGGCCTTTTGACGAACGCTTGGGCGCCACCCGCCTCAGTGGACTCGATCGCCTCTCCGCCCTAGTATTGGTTCGACTTGTTTTACGCCTTCAGCACCTGCTGCCTTTGCCTCAGCCCCTGGGCGTGGGCGCGACGCCGCTCTGCGCCCACTGCCGGGGCGTCTCAGCAATTGCCGGCCGTGCCAGCCCTTCCTGCCGAAGATTTTCGCGCAGTGAGTGCCCTCCGCCCTTCGCCCTCGCTCCGCGGCCGCCCTGCCAGACGCTCGGTATGCTTCGCCCCAGCCACTAGAGCGCGCGAGCGGATTGCCTCTGCCGCGCCGCGACGGAAAAAACAATGTGTGTGCAAAGTGCCCGTCGCAGCCCTCTCGGGCCCCCCCGCCTCTCTGCCCCCCCCCGTCCCTCGACCCCCCCTCTGAGCGCGCGGCCCCGGTGGCGCGCCCCCAGGCTACAGCCCGCCGCCGTCTTGCCGCCAGCGGGGCTGCTCGGCCTCTGAGCCAGCGAGCCTTTCTGCGGGACCGCCGCGCCGCCGCGGACCTACCGCGCGTGGCGCGCCTTCGAGACCGTTTGTGTACACCCTGGCGATAACGGGCGTGTCTGGGGTTTGGAGGGGGGCTGGAGGGGGGCTGGAGGAGGCCGGTCGCGTTCTGATTCGCGCCAGCGCCGTTGATACAAATTCCAGAAAATGGCCAAGTCCAAGACGGCGCCGGCGCGGATCGTGACGGGACCAGTGGGGGCAAAGGAGGGGGGGGGCGGCGCCAGTCACCGGCGTTATCGCGAATCATACAAATATGCTGTCCTTGGCGCGCCGCCGCGCCGCCGCGCCGCCGATGTTGGTGGCGGCCGTGGTGTTCGTCATGCTCGTCATGGTCGTCGTGGCCGCGCTTGTCGTTCAGAGGAGGAACAGCCGCGTCGGTAGGTCGTCGCCGGCGTCGTCGTCTTGGTGGTGTTCGTGGTGGATCGGTCGCCGTCATCCGCCCCCTTCATCGGGGGAGGGAGGGATGTAGCTGAGGAGAAGCGGAGGAGGTGGAGGAGCTCTTTGGCCGCTTGGAGCCGTCTTGGAGCGTTCTTGAAGCCTTTGCCTGACCGCCCTGACGTTGCCCCTCAGAGATCGACGATTGATTTATCCTCGGTCGTTCCTTGATAGAGGACCGTTCCCCGATCGATCCTCGGTCGATGCTCGACGACTACGGCCTCTTGGGGTCTTCTTGGCCGCGCCTCTTGGCGGCCTTGGGGGCCTTCCTGGCCCGTCTTGAGAGGCATGGGGGAGCCTTGGAGAGGTCCGGGGAGGCGTCGGGCCGCCCAGGGAGCCATGGGAGGGGAGATATGTTCGAGGGGGCGTGACTAACTTTAAGTCGGGCCTGTCCCTCTACAGGGGGAATATTCAGAAATAGTCAAAAAATAGTCTGGGGACTATTTTTTGACAATTTTTGATCACTTTTCCCTACCTAGGCTCTGCCTAGAAGGGTTCTTACTCGGTACGCTTAAAGGGCCGGGCAGTGGAATGCGCCCCGGGCGGTTCCCCCGGCATCCGCCCCGCGGTTCCCCCAGTGACGTTCCCTTAGCTTCGCGTTGCTTATCTCATCTTAGCTTAGCTTATTTCATCTTACCTTAGCTTAGCTTCATCTTACCTCAGTTTTATCTTAGTTTAGCTTACCTTCATCTTAGCTTCGCTGAGCTTTAGCATAGCAGAGCACAGCATAGCATAGCATAGCGTAGCATAGCATAGCGCAGCATCGCATATTATAGCATGGGTGTAATTTGCTTAAAGGGGCCGGGCAGTGTAAAACGCCCCGGGCGGTTCCCCCAGTCCCCCCCGCCCCGCGGTTCCCCCAGTTGCGCCCCCTGGGTTCCCCTAGCTTAGCTTAGCTTAGCTTAGCTCAGCTAAGCTTAGCTTAACTTAGCATAGCTGAGCGTAGCCTAGCCTAGCCTAGCTTAGCTTAGCTTAGCTTATCGCATCTTAGCTTAGCTTAGCTTAGCTTATATTTGCAGAGCTAAGCTGAGCTCAGCTTAGCTTAGCTTAGCTTAGCTTATATCATCCTAGCTTAGCTTAGCTTAGCTTACCTCATCGTGGCTTAGCTTAACTTAGCTTAGCTTAGTATAGCTTGTCTCATCTTACCTTAGCTTAGTTTAGCTTGGATTGGCTTGGCTTGGTGTAGCTTAGCTTAGCTTAGCCTAGCCTAGCCTAGCTTAGCTTAGTTTAGCCTAGCCTAGCTTAGCTTAGCATATCTTAGCTTACCTTAGCTTAGCTTAGCGCAGTGCAGTATAGCGCAGCGCAGCATTAGCACAGCATAGCATATCATAGCATATCATAGTCAAGCATATCATAGCATAGCATAGCACAGCTCAGCATAGCATATATACAGGCGCATCTGTAAATGTAGCTGTCGGTGTAGATGTAGATGTTGCTTTCCTATATGCTCCAACTCCTAGGTAGGGTCGCACTGGGATAAGTAGGGTATGTTTGGGGTATTTTTAATTTTTCGTCCAAAATCGGCCTGTAGGGGGACAGGCCCGACTTACGACTATCTGCGTGATGGGGGCGCGGGTGGGAGTGGGGATGCCTTGGAAATCTTGCAGAGGCCCCGCTTGACAGCACGTGGCACAACGCCGCGTCTCACCGTGCCAGGGGGCAGCGATGCCTTCGGAGGCATGTCTCCACGTTTCCCTTCTCCAAGGCCGCGAGGGCGATGGGCGTAAATATGACGGCGGTCCTCTTTGATCGGCCATCCCTCAGGTCTTCGAAGCGTCGATTTATCCATAGCCACCGCCTGGCAGGGGACCTCGGCAGGCGATGGATATGGATATATTCGAGCCCCAGGGGGGCCCAACTATATCCATATCCACGGCTCCCTGTCGTCCCAGGACATCGGTTCTCCAAACTGTGGATACGGATATATCCTCGCCCAGCATTGGAGGGCACCGTGCGCACTGACAGCGGCGCAGTCGCAAGGGCCGCAATCGCAAGGGCGGCGCCCTGGTGAAGATGGCGCAGTCGCAGGGAGCGGTGTTGCAGGCGGCGCCGTGTCGGAGGGCATCGCTGCGCAGCGACAGCGGCGTCTGCTTCGCTGCTTCCGCGTGGTCGCTCTCGAGGCGCGGCAGGATGCGTGTTGCGCCCAATCGCGTGAGGCCGAGGATGCCCACACACCAGTCGAGAGGGGTCGAGTTGTGGGGTGGCGCTGTGGAATGATACGCAGGACGGCCTGGCCGACGTGACGGTGTAATTTGATTGGTCTCGCAGGCGATCCAAACGAGCATAAAGAGAAACATGGCCGACCGTGAAACGATCAGTTGGCTGTGTGATTAGCTCACTGTATTTCCTGGATCGTTGAGCCCCTCTTCCTCCACCGCCTCCCCCCCTCCTCTCCTCCCTATCACCCCTCTCCTCTCTCCATCCTCCCGTTCCTCCTTCCCCTTGTCTCCTTCCTCTCCCTCCTCGTCCTCCTTCTCCTCGTCCTTGGAGGGAGCATGACGGAGGACAATGGAGCAGGAGGAAGATGAGAACGAGGCGGAGGTTCAGGAGTTGGCCGCTCCTTTCTGGCTGCCTTGGAAGACAGATGGCCGAGCCAGATGATACCACCAAGGGTGAACTTTATTTTTGCTTTGCTTTCTGGGCAGGCTTGGGCACTGCTCTCCTTGCACCCTGTGGCGCCGAAGGCTTCGACAGACAGTTGGGGCCTGGGGGGAGGGGGGCCGCTTCCCCTTCCCCTCCCGATCCCCGGAGGACGACAAGCGTACCAGACCACCTCGCTCCCCCTCCCTGCGGAAGGGTGAAGGCCGTCATCCCGCCACTTGTGGCATCGGTCTCCGGGGACTTCCAGCAGGCGGTGGATACGGCTACACTCGGGCCTCGTGGGGGGGGCACCTGCCTCCATCTCCACCCCCTGCCGCGGTCCCCGAAGATCGATCCACAGGCGATGGGCATGGAGAAATCCCCGCCTCGCACGCCCAGAGGGGGAGGAGGGCCGGAGGGGCGAGGGGGCATGGTGATCGGGGCTCCAGGGACGGGGGTCACATGCAAACGGGGGTCCGCCCGAGCGCTGGAGCTTGCAGGAGCCTGCAGAGCCAGGGGCGCACTGACGCGGGTCTGCGTTTGCAGGATCCTGCAAGGATCCTTTAGGGATCTTGCAGGGCCCGGCTGACCCGGGCCGGTCCCCGAGGCACTATAGAGCGATTCTCGCGCGCCGGACGCCGGACACCGGACACTGGTCACCGGACACCGGACACTGGACACCAGACACCGGACACCGGACACTGGACACCGGACGCTGGACACTGGGACACCGGACACCGGACACCGGACACCAGACACCGGACACCACAGGCCACCAGACACCAGACACCAAACAGTGGACACTTGATTCCGGACACCAAACAGTGGACACCGGACACCAGACATCGGACACCGCACACCGGACGCCCGGCACCCGACACTTCTGGACATCGGACAGCAGATGCCGGACACCACACCGGACATCCCGTCGCCGGACACCAGTTTGGGAGGAGTTTGTTTCTAGGAGGAACTTTGTTTTTTCTTGTCCCTTCCCTCTCTGCTCATCCTTTTTCTTTTGCCCCCCTCCTCCTGGCTGACCGATATTGTCCCGCTTGCGTTTTCCATGGTTTCTGCGCGCCGTTTCGCGCAGGGCCGGTTCATTTCTAAGAGGAGTTTTGGTTTTATCATGATTTTCTGTTTCTCGTATCGTTTTTGGCTTTGGGCCTTCTCACACAGGATGTTGTTTTTTCTCGCATGGGATGGGCCCTCGGTATGCTCGCCCTCAGCACGCATTTTTTGCCACGGGCTGGCTTGTTTCTAGGAAGAACCCTGGCTTGCACCTCGCCTCTCCTCTCCAATTTCCTCGGTCGCCCAGTCCCCCTAACCTTTTTCCTTATGCTGTTTTTCCGGAGCGTCCGTGGTATTTCGCATGCGGCTGGTTTTGTTTCTAGGAGGAACCTTGCGTCTCTACTGAATTGTTTTTGTTCGTTCGTTCCTCGCATTGGGTCTTCCACCAAAGGCTTTGACTTTCTCCCACATGGGCGGCTCCCGGATGTGGTCGCTCCTGTGTGCAATGTGCCAAGGGTTGGAGTGTTCATGGCATGCAGGTTTTGCAAAAGTGCGGAACCTTCGGTTTCCTTCCCCTTTCCCTCTTCTCCTCCTTCCTCCTTCGCCCATCCCGGCGAACGAATTCTTCTTGTATGTTTGCGTTTTTGGTATCCTTTTGGTCATTGTATTTCGCGTGGGGCTGGTTTGTTTCTAGAAGGAGCTATGTTTCTTCCATGATTTCTGTATGTTCCCGCGTTACTGACATTGAGGCTTCTCTCAAAGGCTTGCGCTTTCTCCCACATGGGGCGGTCCCTGGGTATGCTCGCCCCTGCGTGTTTTTTCGCCAATGGCTGGCGGACTTAGGAGGAACCCTGGTTCGCCCACGTTCCTGGCATTGGGACTTCCCAAAAAAGGCTTTGTCTTTCTCCGACATGAGGCGGCTACCGGATATGCTCGTTCTGGCACGCAAATCTGCAAATGTTCGCTTGTTTCTAGGCGGAGCCCGGGCTTGTCATTCCCTTCTCCTTTTCTCTTCTTTTTTCATTCGCGCATTTTGGCTAACTGACCATTTTTTCCGTTGGCGCGTTGCCCTGGTTTGTTCATGCAGTTTTGCGTAGGGTTGGTTTGTTTGTAGGAGGAGCCTTGGTTGTATAATACATTTCCTTTGTTCCCTCGCTCTTGGCATTGGGGTTTCTTCCAAACGGCCGGGTCCGGGGCATGCTCGCCCCTGCATGCCACATTTGGGTTGCTTCTTGGAGTAACTTTGTGTTTCCCTCCCCTTCCCCTCCTCACCTCCTTTCTCGTTCGCTCATCCCGGCCAACTAACATTTTTCTGTTTGCGTTTTTGGCATTTGTTTGTTCATTTTGTCTCACATAGGGCCGGCTTGTTTCTAGGAGGGACCATGGTTCCTTCATGATTTGCCGTATGTGCCTCCTTTCCTTTTCCTGGCCTTGGGGCTTCTCCCAAAAGCTTGCGCTTTCTCCCACATGGGGTGGGTCCTGGGTGCGATCGCCCCCTTGCACGATGATGATTGCGGTGGTGGTGATGGTGGTGATGAGGAGACAGGTAACTATGGTGATGGTGGTGACGACGAGGATGATGACGATGCCGATGGTGATGCTATTACTGGTGATAGTGACTATATATGGCAGTTGTGATGGCAATGCTTTTGGCGATGATGGTGAGGAGCTGTCTCACTTCTAGTTCCTTGACCTCTCGGCCGTCTCTTGCGTCCGCCACCAGCGTCTCGCTGTGGCTCCTCGGTCCTCGCCTCTTCCTCGTCCTCCTCCAATGCGCTGGGAACCCAGGGGGAGTTCGGTGCACTCCGCGACAGTTGCCGGAGTCCCCGGGGGACCCACGACTCCCGAGGTTTTGTTGGTTTCTCTTGGGATCGAGCGGGGTAGCCCCCGCTGGAACACTCTGATACATAGTGATAGGTGGCGCTCGATGTTGAAACGCACGAGGCACTAATTTCGTTTTCTCCAGTCGGCCGTAGATCTCGAGTCGGTCGGCGGGGCCAGCCGTGGGCCACCGTCGGCCTTAGGTGCGGCCCCCTCGCCCTGCGTTCTTCGCTGGTCGCCTCGGTCGAAGTCACCGCACGCCGCCTCTTCTTCAAAGCCATCGTATATCAGAGTGACGAGACACGATTTCTCGGCAGAAGTTTCGCAGGAACAACTTCTCACAAAGACAAGACACTCATAGGGGCCCACGGCGCTGAATGAAAAATCAGCATCGTCATTCTCACCATCGTCGTCTACAACATGACCCGCATTTTCAGCATCAGCATCGTCATCGTCTGCATCATCTGCTTTCCGTTGTTCGTCCGCATCGCCCTCCTACCACCTACTGTTATATGATTTCTCTCATTTCTATATCATCGCATTCTTGTTCTTGATCTTCGAATTCGCTCTCATCCCATGCTCCTTCCGGACCGCTTTTCCCGAGTCTTGTTGGAAGAAATGGGGGAGGAGGTGCGGATGTCATTGTTTTCTTATTGCGATACCATTGTAAAGCTAGTCGTCAGAGTCATTGTCAGCGTGCCTGTTATACGCACCTGTGTTCAAATTTTCTTCTGCGGCTACGGTTCGCACCCGTCTTCGGCCATGGGCGCACCCGCGCCATGCGCCGTACAGCGGACGCCAGACACTGGACACCGGACGGCCTCCTGACACTGGCCACCGGACACCGAACACCATGCAGACACCGAACACCGGACACCAGACACTGCACACCGGACACCGGTGCACCGGCCACCGGACACCGGACACTGGACACCAGACACCAGACACCAGACCGGACGCCGGACACCGGACACCGGACACCGGACAGCAGCAAGAATCGTCCATGCTTTCCCCGAGGTGGACTTGCACGAGCGCTCGACCTCACCCGGCGACCCCCCTCCCAGGGCTCGATTCGGTTCCTCCAACTGATTCGATTCGGTTTCGATGGTTTCCCAGTCGGAGTCGATTCCACTTCGGATTCCGATTTGGGCTCCGATGTCTCACCGGAGGCCTGCCAGCCTGCCGATTTCCGCCGTCTCGGCTTTCCCCGCCGCGGCTGCCGGACTCGATCCCTTTTGATCGCCGATCCGATTTCTCGATCCGATTCTGGGCTCTCCTGCCCCCCGCGCGCAGGACGCGGCCGCTGCCGAAGGCAGGGGCGCCCCCACGGCCCGAGAGGCCCCGCCGGCGCGGCCCCCCCCCCTCACCACCCACCAAACCACCCCAACCCAACCCGAAGGCTCAGATTTATCCTCGATTTCCAGTGTGGGGGGGTTGGGAAACATCGAAAAAATATATTTGGAACCCTTACCCTCCCCAGCCCGAAATTCGGGTCTTCGGGTTGGGTTGGGGTGGTCTGGAAGGTAGTCACCCCCTCGGGCGCGGCGCCGCCCCCGCGGCGCGGCCGCGGCCCGTCCCGGCGCACTCCTGCGGCGGGCTCTCGGGCGGGCGGGCGGGCGGGCGCGCGCGAGCAGTGCGGGCGGCGGCCGCCCGTCGGAGGACGGGGCCTCTGGAGTGCGCCCGGCAGCGGCGGCGGCGCCTCGGAATGGTGAGGCCGCCAGATCTCCGACAAGGGGGAGAAGGAGGAGGAGGAGGAGGAGGAGGAGGAGGAGGAGGAGGAGGAGGAGGAGGAGGAGGACGTTTTTGGTTTGCAAAAGATAGGGCGTGCCATTGATGTAGAACGCGAGCTTTCCAATGCCACCACCCTGCTGCACACCGAGCTCAGAAAGATTGGTCTCGTCGTGCACAGTCGGAAGGGTCGTGTCGTTGCGTCGGATAAAGGGTTGAGAGATCGGATTGTGCAGCGGGTGAAGTCTGTCAAGTTAAAAGGGGTCTCCAGTGAGCGCAACTTGGGGATCGACTTTGCCTGTGCTAGAGTTATGGTCAAAGAGACTCGTGCGGCTAGGATGCGACCAGCTATGGCTCGGGCGCGGAAACTGCACAGTTTCGCCAAAGTTATCAAGAAGCGACGTGTACATCATATGGTGTCTGCTGCTTGCTTGGCCTCCCTCAAGTATGGGGGCAACGTGCATGGCAGCAACAACACTCAGCTGCGCACCGCTCGTGCGATGCAAGCTTATGTGCAGGTCAACAGTTTAGCAGGAAGATCTATCACGCTACTTTTAATGCTTGCGGAGGCCCCGCGGTGTGATCCAGTGTATCGCCTCAACATGGACCCACTGCTTGCTTTCGCCAGCGCTGTTTGGGACGCGTGGCTCCCCACCAAGCTGCTTGAGCAAGGCATCACAGATGCCTATGAGCGAACCCAGCAGAGTGGCAACGCCTGGGGCAGCGTTCGCGGCCCTTTCTCGGCTTGTGCTGCCACGGCGGTCCGCCTTGAGATCCTGATCCAAGGGTTCCAATGGTCTCACTCTGCGCTTGGACGCATCTCTGTCCAAGAAGTCTCGCCTCGCACGGTGGGGCTCTGGCTGGTGCGTGTCATTGATTTTTGGCTTTGGTCCCGTGTTGCGCTGACAGAAAAGATGCCAGAGCTGCAAGACGGATGCTTGTTTCAGCCTTTGGTGTCGCTCATGAAAGGTAAGGAGCTCTTGCCCGCTGAAAAAGGTTACCTCAAGAGTGTCGTTTCAGGCGGGCAGTGGCCACAACATCGACAGTGGAGCACTGGAATGACTGGTTCGCCTGTGTGTTTGGCTTGCCGTCAGAACCCGTGCACGCTCAGGCACAGGCACACGGCTTGTGGAATGCAGGAGGAAGTGATGGAGGCTGAGGATATCCCGTCCTACCTCGGCCCTCTGTCACGTGCCGCCGCCGCCTCTCCTCTCGCCAACCTCTTTGCTGAGAGGCTGCTTGTGCCTGCTGCTGTGCTGCCTGCCTCCACCAAACCTCCCGAGAGATGGTTCGGCGGCGGCCCCACAGAGATGGATGGACACATTTTCTTGGACGGCTCCTGGCACGACCAGGATCTGCCCGCCCACGCTCAGGCCGCGGGGTGGGCCGTCGTCGCCGTCGAAGCTGTCTCGGCCAAGGTTCGTTCTGTGCTCGTCGGAGTTCTGTCTGGCACGATCGTAGACATCGATGCGGCTGAGCTCACTGCTTTCCTCAGGGGTCTCCAGCATGCCACCCCTGGGGCGACTTTTTACACCGATTCGAGCTTTGTTTTCGAGGGAGTGGTTTTCCGCGGCCGCAGGCACTGCTGCAGCAGCAGCAGCGCCTGGGCTGAAATTTGGAGGCTCGTGTGGGCCAGGATCGACGACTGGGGTGGAGTTCAGGCGTTCACCCTGATCAAGGTCCCTGCTCACACCACGCGTGCCGCTGTGCAAGCGGGTAGAGTGTCCCAGTTTTGTCGCAACGGCAATGGAGAGGCCGACGATTGGGCCAAGTGGAGCACGGAGCGTGCCAGAGTACCAGCCGAGCTTCGTTCTTCCAGGCAGTCCGAAGCGCGCGTGCTTCGGCATTATGCCAGATGGTGCGCGCGTGTCGGACCACGTTTGTGTGATCTAGACTCGTTGCACGTGCAGGTCAGGGCGAGGGCTCAGAGGGTGAAGGTTCCTCCTCCGCTTGAGGTCCTCCCTCCCCCTCCCACCCGCACGCCACGAGCCCTCGCTCAGGCCGACTCGGCATGTGTGCGCATCGCCGCGGCTGGTGATCGCCAGCATGTTTGTCACCTGTTCCAGCTCACTGGAGGGGAGTGGTGCGTCGCCTGCCTGGTGTGTGGGCTGGGAGGCAGGAAGGTCTCGCAGCAGTTCCAGCGTGCCTGTCTGGGAGCTCCTCTCCCAGGATCGTACGGTTTCCGTGTTCTTCAGAATTTGTCGCGTGATCCTGCACGCTTCAGTCTGAACAAGCGCTGGCACCTGCTGCGCCAGCGCCTTCTGTCCGCGGATACGATCCGCGCGGGGGAGACGTCGTCTGCGGGCACCGCCACCTCCTCCGCCGCGATCGCGTCTGTGGGCTAACTCGTCTGGCTTTGCTGCCGCTCGTCATCGAGCGGTCGGAGGCGCCGCCCTCGTGCCTGCTCAGTGCGGTGCCGAGGTGGCGTAAGCGGTATGTGGCGCGGAGATACTCTTCGCCCCAGTCGTCGTCGAGGAGGAGGAGGAGGAGGAGGAGGAGGAGGAGGAGGAGGAGGAGGAGGAGGAGGAGGAGGAGGAGGAGGAGGAGGAGGAGGAGGAGGAGGAGGGAGGAGGAGGAGGAGGAGGAGGAGGAGGAGGAGGAGGAGGAGGAGGAGGAGGAGGGAGGAGGAGGAGGAGGAGGAGGAGGAGGAGGAGGAGGAGGAGGAGGGAGGAGGGGGGGGGGGAGGAGGAGGAGGAGGAGGAGGAGGAGGAGGAGGAGGAGGAGGAGGGAGGAGGAGGAGGAGGAGGAGGAGGAGGAGGAGGAGGAGGAGGAGGAGGAGGAGGAGGAGGAGGAGGAGGAGGAGGAGGAGGAGGAGGAGGAGGAGGAGGAGGAGGAGGAGGAGGAGGAGGAGGAGGAGAGGAGATGCAGGAGGAGGAGGAGGAGGTCCTTTCTCATCCAGTCTACCTGACATCCACCCCTGAGTCGCAGCGTGGCAGTGTTGCCCCATTGCCCATGCCCACTTGTACACTCCCACTGCTTATTCGCTGATCGCCTTTGTTGCAGTGCATCCTGCTGCATGGCTCTAGCATGCCTACTGTATTGTTCTGCTCGCTCACCAAGGATACATGTTGCCAAAGTCTGCATAACGTGACAGGACGGAGGAGGACGGAGGAGAGAGGAATGAGCAGCAGGAGGTGTGTCGTTTGGTGGTGGGGGGTCTGCAGAGCAGGCCCAGTAGAGGAACCGAATGCCCAGCAGTGCCTGCCCTGAGCTCGGCTGAAGTTTTCCCGACTTGTCCACCGCGTCCGTGCCTCCTCGCGCGCCTCCTCTTTCTTTGTCCCCCCCCTCTGTTTTTTGTTTGCTTCTGCTGTTGCTCTCCTCTTTGTCCTCCTCTTCCTCCTCTTGCAGCTGCTGCCGATCCCCCTCTTTTCTTATTCCTGCTCTTTTTCCCTGCTTGAGGGCGAACCCTACGGAGCGGTGTGTGTGTGTGTTGCCGGTAACTCTTGGCTTTTTGGAAACGTCGTCTTTCCGTCGACCTTCAAAGGCGGAGAACAAACAGGGCGGGCTGTGCTGGTTGAGTTGTGTATTATAGCTCTTTCTCGCCTCCACCTCCTTTACGTAGTCGTTTTGGGGCGAGGTGTTATTCTGGGTCCAATTTGGCCGGATTCGGTCCAGCCCAGGCGCGCCGGGACAGTCGAACATCCACGAATTGAACATTCATCGCTATCGTCTCCCATTTGATCTATGTTTGCTATCATACCTGGTCATCAGATGCGCATCGCAATGGTGCAGATGTCATTGTATAGCCTTGTGACAGGTCATCCCGTCGTGCAGACGCGCTCGAGCTGTCGCACCTCTGTCGTGGGTGAGGACTGCTATAAAAAAGTGGTGTGGGCGATGCAGACGGGCGTCGCAAAGCATCCAGAGTATTTTTCTCCATTGACCAATCGATCCAGCTTCGAGGACTTCCAGCGGCACCTGCACAGAAAGGCTGGGTTCTCTACCGTGTGCTCGGAGCCCTGTGCAGCGAGGGCGTCGGAGGAAACAGTGGTTGCACAGTTGCCGTCATCCGAGAGTTGCCGCACTTCTGTCGTGGGCGAGGACTGCTACAAAAAAGTGGTGTGGGCGATGCAGACGGGCGTCGCAAAGCATCCAGAGTATTTTTCTCCATTGACCAATACATCCAGCTTCGAGGATTTCCAGCGGCACCTGCACAGAAAGGCCGGGTTCTCTAACGTGTGCTCGGAGCCTTGTGCAGCGCGGGCTCCGGAGGAGTCAGTGGCAGCACAGTTGTCCTCATCAGAAGTCTGCCGTACTTCTGTCATTGGCGACGAGTGTTACAAGAAAGTTGCTTGGGCGATGCAGACGGGCGTCCTGAAGTACCCAGAGTGGTTCTCTCCCTTGACCAGCAATTCCAGCTTCGAGGATTTCCAGCGACATTTTCACGGTATAGCCAGGTTCGCCAATGTTTGTGCCGAGCCTTGTGTAGAGAAGGTGCCAGAGTTTCTTGCCGCAACACAATCTCCAGTATCTGAAGGTTGCCACACTTCCGTTGAGGGCGAGCCTTGCAACGAGGCGGTGACCTGGTCGATGCAGATGGACTTCGTGGATAACCCTCTGGCGTACACCCGCTGGAACCTGACCGAGAGTTCCAGCTTTGAGGACTTCCAGCGACGTCTGCACAGCATCGACTCCGAGTTGTGCCCCAACCCGTGCGTCGCGCGGGAGTAAACTACTTTCGAACTTCGAGCCTTACTTTTGTTGTGCCCAAACGAGCGCTGCCACCCTGGGTGCCGCTAGGGAATGATGCAGAAAGGCATGAACACCGCGAAGATTAGCAGGAGGGGGAGGGCGCGGGGAAGGATGATAATAATGATGATGCTGATGGTGATGATGCTGCTGATGATGATGATGCTGATGCTGATGATGATGATGATGATGATGATGATGATGATGATGATGCTGATGCTGATGGTGTTGCTGATGATGCTGCTGATGATGAGGATGCTGATTGTGGTGATCATGATGATGGTGATGATGCGGAAAAACACAAAACAACACAAACACCAGCAGGATGATCACACTGGTCAGCTGGGGAATCAGGAGCAGCAGTAGCAGCAAGAAAAGTATGAGCAGGAGGAGGAGGAGCAGCAGCAGGACGACAAGAAAGGTCAAGCGGAGGATGAGAACAGCAGCAGCAGGATATGGAGGAGCATGAGGAGGTGGATGAGGAGGAAGCGTAGCAGCAGGAGCAGGGATAGGCGGAGGAGGGGGCACGAGGAACATGAGAGGTGTGCGCGCGTGATCCCGCCAGAAGGTATCGGGTGCCGCCTGTGCGTGCCCTGTGCCTCCTCCGTCCTCCGTCCTCCCTCCTCCTCCTCCTCCTCCTGCTCCTCCCCTGTGTTCCTTCCTTCTTGTCCTCCACCCTCCGTCCTCCGTCCGTCCTCCGTGCTTCCTCCGCGGTACTCCATTTGCAGGTCCTGGGTGTCGCCTCGGCTCGTCGAGCCGTCGACAGTCTTCCGACGGATCGCAACGTCCACGGACTTCCGTACAGGCTTGGGGCACAGGATTCGGAGGAGCAAGAGAACATGATGATAATGCTGAAGATGTTGTTGATGATGATGATGCTGATGTTGATGCTGATTCGTCTGATGATGATGCTGCTGATGATGCTGAAGATGCTGATGCTGATGCTGCTGCTGATGATGATGCTGGTGATCCGGTGATGCGAAAGAGCGTGTTCTACCGCTGCTGGCGGAAAACCGGGGGGGGGTCACTACCGGTTCGAACCCCTCCCCCCCCCTCCGGAAAACCGGGGGGGGTCACTACCGGCTCGAACCCCTCCCCCCCCCCAGTTCATCATGAAAAGGGGGGGGGGTCACTACCGGTTCGAACCCCCCCCCCCCCCCCCCTCGAACTCGAAAACCGGGGGGGTCACTACCGGTTCGAACCCCCCCCCTCTCGAAAACCGAGGGGGGGTGCGGACAGTGGTTGGGACGGTGGTAGTGGGGGCAGTGGTGAGGGGACAGCGGGACAGTGGTGGGGACAGTGGGACAGTGGTGGGGACAGTAGTGGTGGGGACAATGGTGAGGACAATGGTGGGAACAATGGGGACAGTGGGACAGTGGTGGGGACGGTGGTGGTGGGGACAGTGGTGTGGGGACAGTGGGAATGTGGTGGAAATAGTTGGACAGTGGAGGGTACAGTGGTGGTGGGGACAGTGGTGAAGGCGGTGGCGAGGACGGCGGTGGGACAATGGGACAGAAGTACAGTGGGGACAGTGGTGGGGACAGTGGGGACAGTGGTGGGAACAGTGGGACAGCTCAGTGGGACAGCGGAGGAGACAGTGGGACAGTGGGGGCAGCGGTTGGGGCCGTGGAGAAAATTGGGAGAGTGGAACCGTGATGGGAACAGTGGTGGGGACAGTGGGGACAGTGCGACAGTGGTGGTGGCACTCGTGGGGACAGTAGGGGCTGTGGTGGAACCAGTGGGGACAGTGGTGGTGAGGACAGTGGTGCTGGGAACAACAGTGGGGGATGTGGTGAGGACGGTGGTAGGGACCGGGGGTCGTTTGCTGGCGGTGAGAGGGGGGGTGGGGAGGGGTTCGAACCGGTAGTGACCCCCCCTCCGGTTTTCGAGGGGGGGGGGGGGTTCGAACCGGTAGTGACCCCCCCCGGTTTTCGAGGGGGAGGGGGGGGGGTTAGGGGAGGGGGGGGTTTTGCCGGGGGAGGAGGGGGTGGGGGGTCCAGCAGGGGGGGGGATTTTCGGAGGGGGGGGGGGGACCCCTGGGTTCTGGAGGAAAAGGGCGGCAATTTTCCACAGTAAAGCGGCGGTGGATCACGCTCTCTCGGTGATGCAGATGCTGATGATGATGACGATGATGCTGATGCTGATTATGCTGATGCTGCTGCTGCTGATGCGGGTGATGATGATGCTGGCGATGCTGAATAGGCTGCTGATGATGATGCTGCTAATGATGATAATGCTGATGCTGATGATGTTGATGATGATGGTGATGCGGATGCTGATAATGATGAGGATGATGATGAGGATGATGGTACTAATAATGATGATGAAGATGCTGCTGATGAGGATGTTGATAACGATGATTGTGATGAGGTTGAGGATGATGATGAGAGTGATACTGACGATGATGTTGCGGATGCTGATGCTGATAATGACTATGATGATGCTGATGATGACGATGATGATGCTGATGCTGATGCTGATAACGACAACGATGATGCTGATGATGGTGATGATGCTGATGACGATGCTGACAAGCAGGTGATGATGATGATGCTGCTGATGAGGATGCTGATGATGCTGATGATGTGGATGATGTGCATGAGCTTGATGACGATGATGGCGATGATGACGATGATGACGATGTTGATGATGCTAATGATAGTTATGATAGTGATGGTGATGATGATGATGCTGATGATGACGATGATGATGATGATGATGATGATGATGATGATGATGGTGATGGTGATGATGAAGATGCTGCTGATGCTGCTGATGATGATGATGCTAATGACGATGTTGATGATGTTGGTGGTGATGATGATGCTGCTGATGATGATGATACAGATGATGCGTTCCGAGATGTCCCAGATGTACAGGGTTCCCAGGACCCTCCCATGTTCCACATCGGCTGCAGAGGAACGGGCCGATTGCCACGAAAGAAGTCCTGGAATGGATCCCGAGCCAATCGCATCACGACATCTTTCTCGGCCTACGGACGGACGCTCAAATCCTCGGCCCTCGGGCGCCGTGGGCAGCACTCCGTACCCGGACCTTCCAGGATGGCCAAAACATATCACCAGGATTTCTGATGTCAAATCAGAGTGGAGAATGTAAGCAGTGCTGATAGGCGTACAGGTCTGGACGGCTATGTTTGAGAACTCTGTACGGGCAGGGCACCGGCGACGACGACGACGGCAACGACGACGGCGACGGCGACGGCGATGGCGACGAGCAGCCCGCAGCCATCCCCGCCGCGAAGGGCGGGCGCGCCCTCCCGCGCGGCGGCCGCCGCGACTGCTGGCTGCTAGCTGCTGCCGCCGTGCCGCTGGCCGCTGCCTCGGGGTGGCACCTCAATGTGCAACTCCTTGGAGGTCACGGGGTTCGAGTAGACGGGGCCGGATGATCGGGCCACATCGCCGATGCATCGGCGATGCGGCTCGATGCGGAGCCCGCTGTTCTCCACGCCGACGTCGCCGATGCACCGCCGACGTCGCCGATGCATCGGTGATATGTCGGCGATGCATTGTCGATGCAGCGCGATCCTCCGACTCCATCTATTCAGGCCCCATGTGGGATGCCTCCAGGTCGGGAGTTTTGGCTCAGCGTGTCGCGCCTTCGGTTCTGGCTCATACCACGCCCCTGCGTGACGCGCTATCTACGTTCCAGTCCCCAGGCGTCAATGTCTCGAAGCGTTTCCGACCTCCCGCCCCGCTGAGCCGAGCGGCACGCAAGCAGCTTGCATTGCATAGCGTGTCGTTGGGGCCGCCGCTGGGAAACGCTAAGCAAAAGTGCCTGACCGTATTCAATCCCGATTATTCCGGCCTAGTCCTGGGCTGACTCTTGGCCAGTCTGTCTTCATGGCCCCTAAGCCTAAGTCGTGCCTCAACGGCCCTTGATCCGGGGGCGTCCAAGAGGGGGGTGACGACACCGGGGGTTTGTGAATGTCATGGTTGGGGCCATGATATCTCCTGGATGTCATGGCCCCCTCTTTTTCTTCCCAGCCATCTTGTGGTGTTGGGTCCCCGTTTTGAAGAGACAGTGCCCCGCGTTCCTCTCCTCCTCCCCCTTTTTCCCCCTCCCATCCTCCCGCTGCCCTCCCCCTCCTCCCACTCCTGCCTCTGCCCTCCGCAAGTCCTCCTCATCCTCCCCCTTACCATCATCACCCTCATCATCATTATCATCATCATTGTCATCATCATCATCATCATCATCATCATCATCATCATCATCATCATCATCATCATCATCATCATCATCATCATCATCATCATCATCATCATCATCTTCATCACAATTAGCAATTTTGGCTCAAGCGGCGGCATGGGCTGGGGCTCACAGCTGCCATCTGTTTCACGACTCTGCCTTCTAGTGCTAGCTGTCGATGGGCTCGCGCAGCCGCTCGCGCGAGCCAGTATCAGTGCCAGCAGCCATGGACGGACCCACGATGATGATTCACTTCAGGGAAAGTCTGCGCTCCGAGATCAAGGAGCCGACAAGGAAAGATCTCGCGGACGTGAAGACGTCCATCGACAATGTAAGCAGGGACGTCGAGAGACACGAGGGGCGCCTCAACAACATGGAGCAGGAGGTCGAGGACCTACGAGAGGGACGTTCGGCGGCTCCCTCATCCACGGCGGCTTCCTCGGTCGGGCATCCGCTGCGCTTCTCGGGGGTCGAGGGCGCGCCAGCACAGCCGGTCGCGTCGGGGCCGAAGAGGGCTTGCGACAA